CTTACAAAGTGAACATTCTAACATGTGTACATTTCTCACCAGTCCAGTTCACCATTCTAGAAAGTTATCTTCCTCAACTCCTTTACCCACCCTCTTCCCACAATGTATCTGGTGTTCAGAGCCATTTACATAGTTTCTATAGCCTTCAGTCATTCAGTTTTGGCCATAGAGAGCCAACACTTGGTATATATTAAGTGGAGACATACAATGTCTCTTCTTCATCTCCTGGCTTGTTTCACTCAACAGTCATTTTTACCTGGTCATTCCAGATATGTGTTACAACCTTCCTATTACTCAATGGCAAAGAGGAAGTGGTTGGTAAGCTGTGTATGGCCATGAGACAGCAGTACGTCTTACAGTAACTGCTATTGTTTTGACATATTTAATCCATAGTGCAGAACCTATTTTTTTCTTTTTATACTTTAAATTTTTCCCATCCATGGTAGATTGGTCATCTGTAAAACAAATACATTAACTCCTAGGATACTAAATTAAAAATACAAACTAAGCCATATCAAAAAAAAAAGTCCCAATTTTTAAATGATTGACTTTGACCTGAAAAAATGATTTTCTAAACAATTCTCAAGTTTCTAAACTTTCTAATCACAGACAAGTCGCAAGCAGTTCATGCCCATGAATCACACTTTGAGTAACACTGATTTGTGGTGTGTTTTGTTTTGTTTTGCTTTGTTTTGTTTTGTTTTACTAGAGAACATGTGTGCTCACCAGAGACCGAAAGGTAGACAGAAAAGCACTCCTATGAAGAATGGTCACATTGCAAACCCTTCTCTCCCGTTTAACCCTCCTTTGGGGATTTCAGGCACATAAGCACATGTTCCCATGTTTCTTGAGTCACCATGTCTGGGACACAAATCTTACCATCAGCCAGATGTTGGATCTGGCTGCTTTAACTACCAGGCCATGGAGTCAACCTGTGGCACTGATTTTTAAAACATAAGAAGACACATGAGATATGGATTTGAAGCCAATACTATGCCTCTCTTCATTATAAATTTGTTTTGTTTTGTTTTTATTTTTAGAAATTTTTGCTATAGGGCACATGTGCTCACTGGAGAGACAGAGAGACAGAAAGAGAAATGGTGCCGGGGCGGATGGATATGTCCCAATCCCTTCTCTTCCATTCTCCTCTCAGGATTTTGGGCATACATGTAAACACACACATGCCTGGTTTCAAGTCGCCAGGTCCCAGACTCAAACTGTGGTCAATCACGTGAGAGTCCAGTATCTTAACCACTATGCCACTTGCTGCCCCCTCCTCTGTTATGATTTTCAAAAATTTAGTTTCAGCGTTTCCTTAAACTGAAACTTCAATCATCTTCCTACTTATAAAAAGGAAGATGGCACGCATGCGATGTTCAGTTTCTGGAAAGTTGAATGTGTAACTTACTCGCAACCTCATGTGTACAGGTTGTGTACATTGTGCTTTGAATGGGCTTTGCAGACCTCTACAGACCCTCCCTCATCTGTGACACACATGATATCCTTCACACTATCTGACCACTGTGAAAGAAACATTGCCTATTTTTTTTTTAATTTTCCACTATACCACTTATCAAATCTAAGAGTTGGTAAGACCCAAAGTGCTAAGATTGGCATTCTAACACTTGCCAGAACTTTAGGGTAGGAATATTATGATGTGACTTAATCAGTATGTAACATTCCTTCTGTACGCTATTTTGTAAGCTCACACATGCATGTCTATGCTAAGACTCTTTCGTAGACTTGTCTTCATCTCAAACTATTTCACAATCTCAACTTTTTGTAGCAGATGGAAGCCATTGAAAGAAATATTTAACAGAGATAAAGACTTAAAGTTCTCCCCTGAAGGTGATCTATATTTTTTATTTGATTATCACTGCATGTATACTTTGAAAACATATATTGCACACTATAAGATGTACAGCAACTAAATGTGAATAAGAAATCATTCTTTTAAAAAAGCTGGGGCCAGCAGATGGTGTGGTGATTAAAATACTGGACTCCCACATGGTCAACTGCAGTTCAAGTCCCAGACCTCGCAGCTTGCTTTCTCACTTCCCTTTCTCTCTCTATCTCTCTGTGGTTAAAATGAAAAATAATGATAATAATAGATAAGATAAAATAAATAATTCTTTTAAAATTAAAATCTCTCTGTGGTTAAAATGAAAAGTAATGATAATAATAGACAAGATAAAATAAATAATTCTTTTAAAATTAAAAAGCCAAGCTGCACCCACTTACCTTTCCTTGGAGAAAAATATGCTGATGATCCCAGAATCTTTGCTGAAACATTAGTTCTTCAAAACATATACACACCTTGAGTTTTTTTCTTGTCTAATATTTCTTATTACCTACTATTTTGGGAGTACTGGCTCCCTTTAATAAAACAGAGGGAGGGACCAGCAGATGGTGTAGTGGTTATGTCATTGCATTCACACATGGCAGACCACAGTTCATGCCCCAGACCCAGTTGCTTGAAAATCACACCAGGCTCACATTCGTGCATGCCCAAGATCCCAGAAGGAGAATGCAGGGGAAGGAACTGCGGTATGGTCAACCCTACTGGTGGCTGATTTCTCACTTTCCCTCTCACTGTGTCTGTCTCTCTCTCTGGAGAGTGCCCTCAGGTAAAAACATGTAATAAATAGATAAATAAATAAATAAATAAATAAATAAATAAATAAATAAATAAATAGAAATAAAGCAGAAGGGAGACTAGAGAGTACTAAAGGGTACAAAATTGTTTCTAGCAGTAGGTCAATTGCCAGAAAGGTGGGTTTGGATACTTAAATACTAATCAAGAAAGCACTGAAATTAAGTAACTTTAAGAAGCTTTATTATGTTTTTCTAATGCTATTAATATAACAACACAAATATGTCTCTTTTCTTATTCTTTATTTCTAATCCACTATATTTGTTGTACCAGGGTATATATTGTTGCAGCAAACCATCTATTGATTCTAATTAATATTTTAGAAATATAAAAATTAGAATACATATTAATTCTCACATTTCCAGGTATTATTAGCCTTTGAATATAGTATTACACTTGCTTTATTAAAGGTAAATCCAACTTTCTTTCATTATCCAACATTTAAACATAATTTAAAAAGCAGGATATCAATTTAATCAAAGGTCTATTGCCTTTTTTTTTTTTAAGAGGTTTTTGCTATAGGGCGCGTGCGCTCACCAGTCAGACAGACAGAGACAGAGAGACAGAAAGCAAGAAATCACTCCCCAGGGGGGATGGCCACGCCACAACCCCTTCTCCTCCATTCTCCTCTCAGAATCTTGGGCACACCCGCACTCGTGCCCGGCGCGAGTTTAAGCCACCGGGTCTAGGACGCAAACCACGGTCTATTGCCTTTTGTAGAATCATGTTAGTCCACATAATTTCAAAATAATCCATATCACATACATAGTGAATCTGCTATTGCACATATTTATTCTCCCATGAAGAGAATAGTTATTCTATACACAATGCATTTAATTCATCCACGACATCATCACCTATTAATAAAATGAAGAATATTAAATACTAAGGACAGGAGAAGGGCATCGATACTGAAGCAGCTATAAGTCAATGCAGCAAGTTTTACTCTCATCAGTTTACTTATGTTCTGAGGCACATGCTATCCTTCACCCATAATCACTTTGTTTGAAGATATGCTAAAAAAAAGATCATGATGTGGGAGGTGAACTCCAAGTTTAAACTAGTTTCAAAGAAAGAATACAGTGCTCCTATGCTCTTCCTGCTTTGTGGAAAAAGGATTTGGCTAAGGTTCGCAGCATTATTCTTCCTATGACAAGAATTTCCTCAAAGGGCCCATGGAAAATGGGTGGGATAAGTCAGGGGATGTTTGTAAGTCTAACAAAGGAAGTATAAAGTAATGGAATACATTTGTGTCATAGGAATTTGGCAAAGAGAAATAGAGAAGCTTGGGGTAAAGGGGTAGGACTGGGCTGGCCCCTAGCTACGTTATTGCAGCTCACAGGCCCTGTAACCTGGGACAAAAATTGGTAGTGCTCCTGAATATCAGTAAAATGTTGGGTCCATTACACATGACAGCTAAACTTAGACCTTTAATTTAAGGTGTAGAATAGGACAACAGTTAATTTTCATCTAAGGGAAGGTTTGTGCATACTGATGAGGAATTCCGGGTATGTAACCAGTGGTGCTTCTTCCCTAACAGTGAGTTATTAGAGTACGTAGAAAAGACTAAAGGGAACAACTCACCCACAAAGCAAACTCCAGGAGTGCTTCTTGTATGTTACCAATTCTATTCCACTTCAGAGTGAGAATCTAAAGGATACTGGCATACTGAATATTGTAGAGCAGAGACAAACATCTCTAAAGGAGAGTAGCTGGTATGTGGTGTCACAGGGGGTTCTGACATGACAGTTTTGATGTTAGAAAATTCTTCTTAATTCTAATTACCTAAGGTCACAAATTATCCCTGGAAAAAAGCAGTGTGTAAGATTGCAAAGATGTTTTCTTTCTGCAAAGATGGGATGTGAGGTTCTAAATCTTGTTGCTTAGGCCAACAGCTCCCTCCAAACTAATTGGTTATAGCCATAGTTTGGAACTCTACAAATTAAAAAAAAAAAAAGATCACAGTTTCAGAGTGCAATGGGAAAAAATAGACACTTTTCTTATGGAAAAATTGATCTAATAATAAATGATTGGATTTCAAGATCTGTGAATGACTATGGATAATATTGGCATGAGCTAAATCTGGCAAGCTTCTGTGAAGTTTAGAGCCAAGATGAAATGTTCGTGGGTAAAAATGGATTAGTGTACCAACAAGTCAGCATAAATGAAGATCTTTCTCACTATTAAAAGTATTTTTAGTGTAGTGGCCAATAGGCTGTTAGGTGGATAGAAAGCTGCAACCATAGACAATAACCTTGAGCAAGAATATAGCAAACGATACGAAAGCACTCCTAGAGGTTCAAGAGTATCTGTATGACCTTGCAGTTGTCTCAGACTAGAGATGATTCAAAAAATAAAAATAAAAAAGATGATACAGATATTGAACCTCTTTGGAATGTTTCAATTAACTTGATTATAAACCAATATAAAGATCACTGACTGAAAGACTCTATATTCTAAATACTTTTCTAAATGCTTCTTTGACATCCTTGTTCCTTAGGCTATAAATGAAAGGGTTCATCATGGAGGTTAAGACAGAGTAGAACACAGAGATCACCTTATCCCCCTTGTTCATTTTCTTTGAACTTGGCTGCATGTAGGTAAATATGGTCGACCCATAGAAGAAGACAACAACAATAAAATGGGAACTACAGGTAGAGAAGACCTTAAGCCTCCCCTCCCCTGATCGTATTTGAATCACAGTGGAGATGATATGTGAATAGGAGAAAAGAATGAGAAAGACAGGACCTAGGAGGATTATCACACCCATTGTAAAGATAGCCATCTCAACTTTGTATGTTTCTTCTGAAGCCAACTTTAAGAGTGCAGGAGGTTCACAAAAGTAATGATTAATTTTATTCTGTCCCTGGTATGAGAGACATAAAGTGAAGGTGGTATCTACTAAAGACACAAATATTCCACTGGCCCATGACCATATGACCAGCTGAACACAGACCCTCTGGGTCATGAGAGTAGAGTAGTGCAAGGGCTTGCAGACAGCAACGTAGCGGTCATAGGACATCACTGCCAGAAGTGAACTCTCTGTACACCCCGCTACTAGGAAAGAAAACATCTGAATTGAGCACCTAGTGAAGGAAATGGTCTTTCTCGCGACCAGCAAATGAAATAGCATCTGGGGAACGATAATTGTAGAAAAACAGAGATCAATAAATGACAGATTTTTAAGGAAGAAGTACATCGGTGTATGAAGCCGAGAGTCAGTGTGAATTAGGAGTATAATGAGCAGATTCCCAAACACAGTCAGCAGGTAGATGATGAGGAATATGACAAACATCAGGATCTGGGTGTGATAATCTGAAGAAAGGCCTAGCAAGATGAATTCAGTCAGGTAAGTTTGGTTCCCTTTGCCCATTAATCTTTATTCCAGTCTATAGATTAGTATAAACAAAGCAATTAAATAAAATACCAAATCCAACAGGTAAAGATCTCAACTGACAGAACAAATGTATTTGATTTTCTAAATTCTTGTAAACATTTAAGGCACTTAAAATTTTCTAATTTTTCTGACTTTATGTTCCTTCTGAAGCCATTTGTTTGGTAGGAAAAATGAAACCAGAAATATGCCTTCTTGGTAATCTTTGATGGCAGAGTCACCGTTCACAGTTCTGTGGATAATGTCAAGAAATGTCTTCATAGAAAATTGCAGGTTTTTGTCTAAACCAAAGAAAGAGAATGCTAGTATGTTATAGTGTATTTGAAAAAAATGTAAAGACTTCCTTTAGGAGAAAACCCAGGTTATTTCTTATTTTCTTTCTAAAGGCTTTTGCCTTATGGTGCATGCACTCCCCAGAAAGAGAAAGAGTCAGAGTCAGTGAAAGGGAAAGTGAGAAATCACCATCTGAGGGGATGGCCATGCAGCAATCCTTTCTCCAATCTCCTTCAGGTGTCTTGGGCACACACTCACACACACTTGGTGTCATTTTCAAGCTACCAGTCCAGTTTTCGAACTGCAGTCAACCATGTGAGAGTCCAGCAATGTAACCACTATAACATGTGCTGGTCCTCTTATTTTCTAATTTACATATCATACTGCTAATTTTAACTTTAGTTTCATAAAATAGCAGAGGTAAATAATCAACTTTTTAATTTTCTTTCCAATGAAGTCTCTATCATCCTTTTAAACATGAAAGGGAATTTTAAGAGGTTTTTGCTATAGGGCGCGTGCGCTCTCCCTCCTCCTTTCTCCTCTCGGGATCTTGGGCATGCATGTACACACACCCGGCGTGAGTTTTAAGCCACCAGGTCCGGGACGCGAACTGCAGTCGACTACATGGGAGTCCAGCGACATAGCAATTACGCTAATTGCTGGTCCCTCCATAAGGGGCTATTTTTTATTATTATAATCCACAGTCACAATCCTTTTCTAAATTCTTTATCAGATCACAGAAATAAGCCTGGTGACAATGACAGCGCTCAAGAGAAAACCATAACTGGGCCTCATTGTCATGCAGCCAAAACTGGGAGAAGTGGCCTGACTTGGGCAGCATGGTACATTATGAAGTCCCTTTGTGGAGACCAGTTATAACTACAACAGCATCTGCATAGTTGCAATGTCTTCTCTGTCCTAACAGCGTTTGACTTCACCCATGCGGAAATCAGTTGAGTAACTGCATAAACAGGAAATTAGGCATTGCTCTTGTGCTCTGAAACCAGATATGAAACACTCTTCCCAGTCTATACTTTGTTGTACATTAGGAACAAACAAGCAATAATATGGCTGGATCCAAGCTAAGTAGATGAGAAAGAGACGGAAGGCAGCAGAGCTGTGGACAAACGGCTGGTACTCAGTGCTGAAGTCTGATATCTTTGGGAAGAATTAAAGTACTGGTTCTAGAACTGCCCATTAAAATGAAGGAGGTGTCAGGGAAGGAAGTCAGCCCTCCTGGCCAAACCATCTAGAGACAGGGTAAAGTCAAATGGTACAAACATATTAGGGGTTGTTTACACACAGAAGACCTATGTCTCCCTGGCAGTGTAAGAGAAATGTGAACAAAGCCCATGTGGCTGGACCATCAGCTCATAAACTGCCAATTTTTATTTGATTTTGAGACCATTGGGGGATAGTGAAGTTTCTACTCTTGCATTTCTATCTAGATTGGATCTCAGTTAGGTCCTGCACATATAGAAGAATTCACTGGGACAAGAAAAGCAGTTGGAAAATTCTGAGGGTTTGGCAAAATCAAATAAGAATAATTTTTCTTTTAGCTTCAGTGTAGAGACAACATAAGAAAATCAATGTTAAAGTTTATATTAGCAGCAAAAAATAATTTCTTGCTTAAGTCAATGATTTTGAAACTATAATTATAATGAAATAAATAGTAAAATAAGAATTAGTAGGTTATCAGAAGTATTTATTTAAATTTTTTAAAAAGAATCTCAGAATAATATGAGCATATTTTCAATATTGATTTTAATTTTATTTTTGTCTTTGTGTGTGTTTTTGAAGTGTGAACTGGGTTATAATGTAAACTGTTCTTTAATAAGAGTTATCATTAAAATCTTTACAAAGAGGGGCTGGCTGATGGCATCGTGGTTGGGGTGCTAGATTCCCACACGGCCAACTGTGGTTCCTGGACCTGGTAGCTTGCGTTTTTCTCTCTCTAGTCAAATTGAAAAATAGCAATGATAAATAAAGAGACTATCAGATATTATAGTGGTTAAGTTGCTGGATTCCCACATGGCCAATCATGATTCATGTCCCAAAGTCAGTGGCTTGAAAATCATATTGGGCAGGGACCAGCAGTTAGCGTAATGGCTATGTCGCTGGACTCCCATGTAGTCGACCGCGGTTCGAGTCCCGGACCCGGTGGCTTAAACTCACGCCGGGCGCGTGTGCGTGCGTGCCCAAGATCCTGAGAGGAGAATGGAGGAGAAGGGATTGCGGCGTGGCCATCCCCCCTGGGGGGTGATTTCCTGCTTTCTATCTCTCTGTCTCTCTCTGTCTGTCTGGCGAGCACCCGCGCCCTATAGCAAAAACCTCTCCAAAAAAAAAAAAAAAATCATATTGGGC